GATTTTTTTAAGTACCGTTTAAACTGATCCTTTTAAGTACCATTTCAGATACTGGCTTCTCCATAAAACATTTTTCTTGATGACCTAAACTGAAAGTAAGAAAGGGAAAAATCTTTGTTTATGAAAATATTTTGATGATGTATTTACAGTGTGTTTGCGCAGATGAAAGGCAACAAAAAGTTTTGCTAAACTATTCTGCAAAATAAATGGATATAAAAGACAGAAATCCAGGGAGAAAAAAATTTGCACACATGCTATAAATGCCTTTTGTGAATGATTATCTTTTTGTGTTGAAATAAAAACAGGCCTGTTTTGTGAATCTTGGTGGATTGTATGGTCTAGTTACTATTTCAGAAGCCCAAGGCAAAATGGTCCTTCTTGTTCCTCTCCTCCCTCTCTTGCACAGGCAGTGGGTTGGCATATGGTTGAGGTTTTGCCAATTAGACAATTTCAGAGTATCTCCTGGGACTCTGAATCTTGATCAAGTGGCTCAGAACATGGCACATGTCCAGTGCTGGGGGCGGATAGACCAGTCTGTTCCTAGATCAGCCTCATTATAGCTCTTGTTCCCTGGCCCTCCAGAACATCAAACATCCTTCAGTACATTTTCAAAACTGATTTAATTTACTTCCCACAATTTGATGAACACTAGATATCCACCCAATAGTTTTCTTTTTTTGTATAATCATGTAAGTCCCCTGAGAGATGACCAGAGATCCTTTGGTGGGCAGAATAATGGCCTCCCAAAGATGTCCAAAGCCCAGTTCCCGGAAACTGTGCCTATCTTACCTTACATGACAATGGGAATTTGAGGATGCAGATTGCATTAAGATTGCTAACGAGCTGACTCTGAGACACAGGGATTATCCTGGATTATCTCAGTGGGCCCTATATAATCATGAGCCTCCTTAAGCATAGAAAAGGGAGTTGTAAGAGTATGTCTGAGAGATACAATATGAGAAACATTAGACTTGCCATTGTTGGCTTTGAAAATAGATGAAGGGGCCATGAGACAAAAAATGCAGACATCCTCTGGAAGATGGATAAGGCAAGGAAATGCATTCTCCCTTAGATACTCCAGTAAGGAACACAGCCCTGTCAAAACCTTGATTTAAGCTCACTGAGGATTGTGTCATAGTTATAAGCACAAGAATAGGGAGCAGGCTGTCTTTGTCTCCAGCTGAGCCCGGTGTTCCCTGCTGGAGAATGTAGCAGTTCATAAAGAAGAAGAGCAGAGCAGGTTATAAACCTCCAGTCTACCTCTGACTTCAAAAATGAAATCCCCTGTCTTTGATAATAGGTAATCTTGTCTCCTGTTAGCCTCTGTTCTTGATTTCAATCCCCATTTATTTTCAATTTAACATGTCAGTATTTCAGCCATTGTCATTTATTAATAAATATGCAGCATTGCTCTGATTTCATACAGATTTTCAGACACAGATATTAACATTTGAAAAGGCAAACACCTATGTCTCGGTCCTTTTCTCATGATATAGACCATCAGTTCTCTGGAAAAGACATAAATCACTGTTATAAGAACCTTGCTGATGCTGTTTCCCTGCCTTCTTAGCCCAGGAATCCCTGACATTCAGCCACCTGATTTAAAGTTAATAAATAAATTCGACTACTCTTACACACTTTTAAGATACATTCCAGTTATAGTAAAAAAACAAAGATATCAAGGGAGTCTATTTTTTTTTAACAAAACAAAACACCTAGTAAAGCCTCTCACTTTTATTTCTACATTTGTAATTTACTCAGTACAGTTAACCATTAAACATATATGGAATATATGCAGGTAGAATATCAATTAAAACAAAATATTTCTTGCTTTTAGTGTATGGCATTTAAATACTCCTTTATTGTACTATTTATAAAACTGTTTTATAGAACACTAAAAAGTATGAGGCTCTTTAAAAATGTTAATCCTATAATTAATAGTCAGAGGCATACGCTTTTCCCCAGCACAAGACACTGATATTCTAAATCTGTCATTCTGAACTTTACAGTAGGAGACAGCCATCTGCCTGCATGCAGTCATATAAAACAAAGCAAGAATATATGCTCTTATGTTTCCCTTGGTGGGATGCAGGATCATTATGGTGAAGTAGGCAACAAGGTTTAGCTAATATGAATTAAGATAGCATGTGTTGAAGGAAAAAAAAGCGCATATTAAATCAAACTAATTCTGTAAGTCAATGTTATTAGCAGATTGGATATGGATGATTTGATAAAGTAGAGCAGCATATGATGTAATGCCAAGTAAATGGGAAGTATGTGTGTGGGTGACCCATTCTTGAGTCTCATAGCTCCAGAAATTCTTTCTCTGTATAACTGGATCTAGTGCTATTTTAGTTCAGGGCCTACGCTTTAATTGACAACTGTATTTTGCTGTGAAACATCAAAGTTGTAAAATAAAATATTCTAACATTCTGTCACAGGTTAAGAATATTAACTGGAAGTAAAAAGGAGCAAGGCTTGGGAAGAAAAATGAATTTCTAACATATCTTTATATCTGGATGTTTATGCAATTATATATTTTTCACTCATGCTCTTTTATCAGTTATGTCTAGATTTTTCTGAAAATCAAATACTCTAAAATCTACCTTCTATATTTTAGTTTAAGTGAAATCATTATGAAAAGATATGACCACTCAGACACAAATTTTGGGGCTTACCTAATGTGTTTTTTAGTTTCATTTTATGGGGATTTTGATATCTTCTTAATTAAAAACTTACAAGATAAACATTAACTTCTTTGATTTGATAATTTTTGAAATTTTATTTTATTTTTAAAAAACTTTTTTCTGAAGCAAAGATGATTTTTATAAACAGATGACACAGTGGGACAATTTAAAAATTTAATTTCATGCCATCACGTTAAATCTGATTTTCCAAGTACTACAGTAATATAGCATGGTGGTTAAATGTGAAATCTGGAGTCAGCCAAAATTACTTCTAATCCCATTTCTACCATGTAAAAACTGTGTGACCTTGACAAAGTGACATCTCTAAGCTTTAGATCTCTCATTTGTAAATGGGGGTAATTTAGAGAGCCTACTTCAGCAGGGTTATTCTGAGGGTTAAGTGAAATAAGATGCATGAAGCACTCAGTGCAGTGTCTGGTAAATCTGGTTTCTTCACAGTAATATTATGCAAATTTCATTCCTGAAGCAGAAGTTCATGTATTTTAGGTGTTGATCGTACTCAATAAGGAATTCATTTAAAAAATCATTTTCATGGTACTCTATCTGTAAATTCTGATTTCCCTGTAAATTGTAAGCATTTACTACTGAGAACATTTCTAAGAAATTATATAAGTATAATATTTGCAAATAGGGAAGACTTAGGGATTGTTTATCCAAAGCAAGGTTTTCAACCAGGCCATAGAACAACTTAAAAGTGGTATATAATAATATTTATTGAAATTTACACTGAGATTTCATCATTTATAGGATGATGAGTCATTTTATAGGATGATTCATCTGGCCAACCTGAATCATCCTATGAAAAATTACATCCTAGTACCAGATTCCTGAATTACAGGCCTTAGGCAGTAGCAGTAGCCAACATGTGTCAGTGTGGATTCTAAGGCATGCAACATCGCAAATTACATTTAGAGCAATAGGTTGAAAATGCAATCCTGCCCTTGGCTTTCTTTATGACAGAATGAGGCAAGGTACTTCATTCAAATGTAAGGAGTAAATGGTGAAAAATAAATGTTTGTCATTTTAATATTTATAAATAAAATTTCAGTTTTGAACATGCACATCACATGGCATTCTATGTATTATACGGAAATATTTTCCAAAAAGGAGGCAAGAACAAAAAAATTACAGATATTCTGATATAATAATCTAAAAATAGTCCTATTACATTAATTTTATTTAGTATATCATATGTCTCAGGTATTAGTGAATTAAAATTTCTCTTTAAAATACAATTTTGTAACTAATACTTATTAAAAATATTAGTGTCTGATTATCATCTACTTTGAAAAAAGTACTCTATAGTAGATTACTTAGTGCTTAGCAAAACATCCAATTTATTAGTTTTTAAAATAATGTAAATTCAACAAGAAAAATAGTTAAAAACTTAAAAAGTAGAAAATGATTAATAATATGGAAACATAATTCCTACAGCAAAAATAGGGTAGGTTTCCAATTCTTTTCCTCAGGTCAATTTCCTACATTCTGCCACCAAAAATGTCAAATACAGTTAAACCTCAGTGAAGCCTTGGCTTAACTCCAAAAAAACCTCCGTTCTTTTTTTCTGGAGGAGAATACAGGTTACTCTATGAAGTGTTCACGATACTAGGTAAAGAGTTGCAGGAGAGAGAATTGGGGATTCAGTGAGACAGAGAGAAATGATGGCTTAGAGGGTCATTGCTAGTGTAATACATGTGTCTAACCAGGAGATATACTAACATTGAAACATTAAAACTGGCCAGTCACAGTGGCTCACATCTGTAATCGCAGCAATTTCGGAGGCTGAGGTGGGTGGATAACTTGAGGTCATGAGTTTGAGACCAGCCTGGCCAACATGGTGAAATCGTGTCTCTGCTAAAAATACAAAATTAGCCAGGCATGGTGGATCATGTCTGTAATCCCAGCTGCTATGGAGGCTGAGGCAGGAATATCCTTTGAACACAGGACGCGGAGGTTGCAGTGAGCCAAGATTGCACCATTGCACTCCAGCCTGGGCAACAGAGCAAGACTCCATCTCTAAATAAGTAAAGTAGAGTATCTTTTAAGACTCTGCCCAGCACAAAATTAAAAAGAGAAAAAGCCCTTTCAGAGTTTTAAACAGTTAAATGTGGATCTAAAAGGGCTTTACCACCCAAATGATCCCCCTTGACCTCTCTACTCATAGAATATAATATACATGGCCTTAAATTATAGCAGAAAGCAAATGTCATGATATTTTGCAAACACATGAAATACTTGTCTAAAAATTAAGCCATAGTGATGTATCTTTAAAAGCATTTTACAGTTAAAATCAATTGTGAATAACACTCATATGATGTCTTAAGATGAACATGAAAATAGACTGTTTCCATTTCTGCGCCTTTTAGTGTATTTGCTTGCTTACTTGGCTGAATGGGTAAACATTCACAGTCATACAAGGTCATTTTGGAAGAAGGGTTGAATCACACACACACACACACACACCCCTCTGAATTAACATTAGGAGGTCCTACATTTTAGCACTTAAAAGGGGACTTATGAAATATAGTCTTGGATAAGTAATGAAATTATCTGCTATCTGAATCATAACCCAATAAAAATCCCCATTCCCTCCTCCCTAATTTATAACTAGAGATAAGTTGTACAGAGACAACAGTGATACTTTTCAGCTATCCGTGCAGGGACAACCAGTCAGCTGTGTCATGACCTAATGTCTTTGTAAAAATCTGTCCAGGGTGATTCTGGCTTTAGTTGTCTAGAATTTCCCTAATTAACTGAAAACTTCTTAGGAGGCTTTTAGATGTTGACAATAGAAGTTTTAAAAATTCATTAACAGCTTCATCTTAAAACCATATTCTTAAGCATAAAAAATTAATGTATTATTCTTAACACTAAACTCAAAGGATTTGCATATGAAGTATATAAATGTGGCTATTTGATTGGCAATTAAACAATAAAAATACTATTAATTAGGACCTAACTGTCTCCATGCAAAACAAAGGAAGGATTCACCATACTTTTAGAAGTACCTACATATAAAACACTGAATTTTAACGTATTTTATATGGCAATTGGAAATATATGTTGAATGGCATTCCTAAGGCAAAAAAAAAAAAAAAAAAAGGTTTGCTTCTACAGTATTAAACTGAAAGTATTCTATCAGAATTCATTTTTAAATAAAATTATACAGATGTTTCTTGTTTGCGCTAGTACCCATCACTGTGTTTATAATACCTTTCAACTCCTATCCATTCTCTGGCTTTTAAAAAGAAATATAAAAGGATAATGAAGATTGATTACCTTTTTCACAGAAGCGTCCAGTGAAATGTAGTGGACAGTCACATTGGAATGAGACTATACCACTGGAGGGGAAGATGGGATGGCATGTGCCTCCATTGTGGCATAAATCCTCCTGGCACACAGATGACGCTGCAACAGAGGGGGTGATGGAAGTCCACATCGTATCAATCCCTTGTGTCACATCAGAATCATCAACAAAGGAGGCTGTTGGAGACAGCATAAAACCCTGGGACCTATGATTTATAAACAGATCAGAAAACAAAATATAAGTCAAAGAACTAGGAACATAAATAGAAATAACAGAAAATTCGATTTAACATAAGAGAAAATCAAAGCAACACTGATCCAAGTTTTAACTGAGGACAAAATTACAATGTTTGTTTCACAATTATGAGATACATAAATGTTAAAAATTTCTGAGCCACATATGACCCTGTAGCAGGAAGAATAGTGGAAGAAATGACCTTCATAAACTTCTCAGTAATTTTATGGAAAAAACATAGTTCTCCTTTAGCTGTTTCTTATCTTATGAGCCTAAGATGAAGAATTAGGTCATGTAAAATTTTCATGCTAAAATGGTTTGAATTTGAATTTGAAGACTTTCTAAGTTAACTGCTAGAAATGTGCAATTATCAGTCTGACTTAGCATTAATTTCTGGGAGCTATCCAAGAGGTACCTTAGAAATAGCCACACATACTCCCTCCCCCCCTTTTTTTTTTTTAACAAATTTTAATACCATTTTAACCTTTTCTGATAAATAACGACAAAATTCTCTCTGAATTACGTGAAATTTCCTACTTTCAGATTCAAAACCCCTTGACAATCTGATTTCTCTCTGCTCTTCCAGCCTACTTTTTCATGATTCCTAATAAGTACCTTAAATTCTCTGAAACCAAATAAGATTACTATTCCTTAAAGAGCCTGAAATTTCCTAATTTTGGAAGTTTGTTAAATCTACTTTTTATGCATTGTTTTTTCTCAATTCCTATCTAAATTTTGCCTACGGTGCTAAGCCCATGCCTGTATTAGTTTTTGTCCCCGGCCAACAAGATGTAACTGATGTTTCTCTCCTGTCTAAAATTGCACATCTCATTTGTAGCACTGTTAGAATATTTAGCATGCGCTTGTAGTACAGTTATTTCATGTGTAGCCTCTACTATTTAGCTTGTACATATTTGTTTTTTTTTTCTCCCTCCATACAAAAGTTTCTCATTTTATCAGAAATCTTTATAATACTTAATGAAAATGTGTTGAATGATTGTCTTCGGAGTACTCATGAGTTTTAAATACTGTTTGGGAAGTGTTTTTAGAATTCCCCTTAATATAATCATGAGGTAATTATCTTTTTAATGTATAAAACCTTCCTACAATAAAAATAATCAACAATTAAATATAAAAAAATTTATTTTGTACCTTGTCATAAAGATAAAACCTTAGCAAAAGAAGTCACTTCAAACATTCCCCAACTGATATTAGAGACTTAAATACCTATTTTTTAGATATACTACACACATTAATGTCAACTTATTGGAATAAAAGAGTTGAAGAAAATGAAATAGATAATTTATATTTTACTGGTATGTTAATGTGCAGGTCAGTTCTTTTGCAAACTGAAATTCTTCTTCATGAAGTTCATCACAGATTTTATTCATAATTGAGCCTGACCCACTTCTCTTTCCTCTGAATTGCAATTTACATGAAGGATACCTGGATGACTTCTGTGCTTTTCATTTTATTCCTAACAATGCTTGATCTCCAGTAGGCTCTCCAATAAATATTGTATAAATGAATTTGAATCATTTTTTGTAACAATGCAATGTACCATACTACTTTTTGTTGTTGTTTTTTGTTTGTCTGAGATGGAGTTTCACTCTTGTTGCCCAGTGGCTGCAGTGCAATGGTGCACTCTTGGCTCACTGCAGCCTTCACTCCTGGGTTCAAGCAATTCTCCTGCCTCAGCTTCTCGAGCAGCTAGGATTATATGTGCCTTCCACCATGCACGGCTGATGTTTTGTATTTTTAGTAGAAATGGAGTTTTGCCTTGTTGGCCAGGCTGGTCTCCAATTCCTTGCCTCAGGTGATCTGCCAGCCTTGGCCTCCCAAACTGATAGGATTACAGGCATGAATCACCACACCTGTCCTGTACCACACTACTAACAAGAAAAATAGCAAGTGAAATAATTTTGCCACCCCAGGTTAATTTTATAACTCCATTATATAACTCTTTAATTTTATAAACAATATAAATTCTAATTCTTTTGAAACAGTTGTGTAATCAACTTTCTCTGATATTGCTCTATTAGAAAATTAGCATGCTTATCCTTTTAGCACTTGCACTATAAGTTTGTCTCTTTAAGGCAGTTTCCATCAAGTTAAATGGCAATGTTAATGTGAATGACATGGGATTTATTACTCAATATTCTGAATTCTAATTTAATTTTTAGTCTTAATGTTTTTGAATAATTTTATCATTTTGTCTAACATTTGCCATGGACTTCATGGACTGCAGTCAATCACTACTTTCTCAGGAATAAATTAGAGAGAATTAAATGTCACTTCTTCTTTCCCCTACTGTAGCTACCCAGGGAGCCTGTGCCTCACCTGAAAAAAAATCAATATTTTGCACATTTCATTTGTTAACTGATTGCACAAAAATAATTGCTATCAATTGATCTAAAAACAGGATCACAAATCAGTTTTTGAAAGCAACATTAATCATTTGATCTTTGTTATAAAGATCAAATTTCATATTCAATATATAATTATTAATAGTCTTTGGCTTTCAGTTTGATTTTTGCAGGTTATAAGTTATATCATGAATTTACTTGTTTTAAAACTTAGAATTAAAATGTATTCAATTTGTCATATATTTAAAAAGGACAATTAGTTCACACTGCTGAAATTTTATTTTCACATACAGGTTAAAAGTATCAACTGATTGTGGAGGTTTATTAAACATAACTAGATGATGGACAGAGTAATATAATTAGCAATGTAAAAAAGGAACAGTAAAATTACCATTTTAAAAATTCTAGAAATCATAAATGTATGAGAGTTTAGAAAACAGTAAGTGCAGAAATCTGATTGCTTCTCAGGTAACTTTGTACAAGGATACAGTGATAAATCAGCCATTATGATAGCAAGAAGTAAGTCTTCAATAACTTTTTCTTAATGAATTAGTGTCTAAATAACATATGCTCATTTGATTCAAAACCAAACTTGATCATTAGAGAAAGACACCTTGATAAGACAGCAATTTTCAGTCGTGTTGGGGAACTCTAGTTGGAACAGGAAAGGAAAACACACTCCTCATTCTTTCAATCCCACAGCAAGCAGCCTATGAAAACCATGGGACAAAACATTTCACATTGCTTCAGCCTGAAGGATTTTGCTCATTGCCAGCTGACTTCACCACTGCTCAACAGACATTTGTCTGGCACAAATTTTTAGAAGGAAGAGTGGGCTGACTCAGATATGTGCCTAGAAACCCAGCTTCTCAAGTACAAAAGTACATCATTTTTAGAATGATGATGAAGTATTAAATAAACACTGCTAGAAGACTCTTCAGTTTAGAGCTTTAATAGTCTAAGGGGAAGAAAAGGTTCAAAAATCATTGTGTTTGATTGTAAAGAGTAGTAAAATAAATGAGTTATAAACTGGAAAACAAAATCCATATATCTCATGTACAGAAAACATGGACTTTTTTACAAAAATGAGAATGTACTATAAAGGTATACTTCATTCCACTTTGTCTTTCCACTTAGATATGATATTCTACTCTTTTTTTTTTCACCTAAAAATAGTTCTTGATGGGCTGCTTTATTTGTAAGTATAGTTCTTCACTTTACTTTTAAAAGCTGCAGAGTGTTTTCATTGTTCGCCTATATCATCACGGATTCTATCAGTTTATATATATTTCATTGCTTTTTGGGTTTTGGGGTACATGTGAAGAACATGCAAGATTGTTGCATAGGTACATACGTGGCAATGTGGTTTGCTGCCTTCCTCCCCATCACCTATATCTGACATTTCTCTCCATGTTTACCTGATATATTTTAGCTGTCTCGAGTTTTTTCTTGTTAACTGAACAACTTTATTTTCAATAGTTACATTGAGATACAATTTAAATACATAGTGTACCCATTTAAAGTGCATTATCTAATAATTTTTAGTAGATATAGAATTGTACAACCATCACCACAATCGAGCTTTTTATTTTGTCATTCGCAAAAGAAGTGTCATTTCCCTTAACAGCCACTCTCCACCACACATTCTCACTCTGGTCTCAGTAAACCTTTAACTTACATTCTGTGTCTATAGAAAAATTTGCCTATTTCAGACATTTCATATAAATAAAATCATATAACATATTGTTTTGAACTGGCTTTCTCATTTAGTGTAATGTTTTCAAGGTTCATCCATGTTGTTGCATGAATCAGAACTTTATTCATTTTTAGCACTGATATGGATCTATCATATTTTTTCATTCATTGGTTGAAAGATATGTGGGCTTTTTTGACCTCTTGGCTATTGTAAATAATACTATGAACATTCATGTTCAAATTTTTTCTGGAGGTATGTTTCAATTTCTCTTGGGAATATTCTTAGGAATGGAATTGCTGGATTATATATTCTATGTTGAACATTTTGAGCAACTGCCAAAACATTTTCCGAAGAGGCTTCACCATTTTACCTTTCTGCCAGCAAAATATAAGAGTTCCAATTCTCTATATCCTTGTTGGATCAAAAATTATTTTTGCTTTCTATCTTTGGCAAAAATCTCCTTATTTGTTCTATCCCCCAGATCTGGGCATCATAAACTCTTCTAAGTAGTATGTACACTTAGTTTTTTAATGAATTTTGACAAATTTGCCTCAGAATAATTGCCACAGTTTATACAGTAACAACTTTTACTGTACTTACACCAATAATTTCTTCATCAAATTTTGCTGTTCAATAGGCAATTACATAAAAACTAGAAACTTGCCATTTCTAATTATATTGCTTTGTTAATAAGCATCATATGCAGAATAATTCCCCACCACCCTGCTTAAATGAAAAGTAGTTTTCTGAACTTGCCTAACTAACATCTGCTTCATTCACTGGAGCCACACAGGGGCCGACCAGCTGAGTAGAATGCCTTTTGCCAGTAATGTACAGTAAAGGGTGTGTTGGCTTACCATTCTTTCTAAGTCCTCTGTTTCTCCATGCATTATCAAATGTCACAGCTAT